GTATGAAATTCTGTGGGGACTAGACAAGACATGGGCTGCAAAATTGTTCAAGTCAGTGTCAGAGACAAGAAGCAGACAGAGGACATGAACTTAACCTAAGAAAGAAGGACAATGGAAAATAACTTAGGCAGAATGACTTTATATGGATAGTATTTACTGTATTTACCATGTGAGATAAATGGTCCCACCAGGGAGAAAAGAGGAGACACTGATTAAACCTCTTAACACTTCTGTGGGGTAAGTATTATCCCCTTTAGAGAGATGAGTAAAAACTGAGACATAAACAGTTAAATGCTTTCTTCAAAGATCTTTCAGTGAGTCAGTAGCAAAGCTGGGTCCAGAACCCAGGAGCCTAGAACCATGTCTCTCTAGTCTAACATTTATTAAACCTACTACCCAGATACTGGATTTGGAGAAGATGTGAAATTTTTGAAGAGGGAGAGGAGAAAAAAAGGCACAATTCAAAGGAAAAAATGTGTCCCCCTCCCACTTTGCTGGGGTTCAGACGGAGAGAGAGTGAACTAAGTATTATTTTTGTGCTCTGTGGTGCTTAGCTATTTTTAGTAGGTCATCAGGTTCAAAGCAGAGAAATCTGCAACCACAAGAGGGAAAATCAGGGACATTGCAGTTTTTTAAAAAAGCAGGAACATTTAGTCTTTGCAATATGCTCATGTGTTTTCTTTTCTCCTTCATGGTTTCAGTAGTGTTCCTGATAAGTCCTCACTGGTGCTGTTTACAGGAGCAAAGTACAGACTATTCTAGTTCACACACACACACACACACACACACACACACACGAGCGTTTTTCGGATTGCTCCATACAAACAGGAATCCACCCAACCTTCAGACCTGAATTAACTTCACAACCAACCAGGCCTAAAAGAAGCACATGTGGGGAGTCTTACTTAACCAAACCCAAAAAGAGATATCATTTCTCTGCAGCTATGAGGGGTCACAACGTTGCTGAGATCTCTTCTCTGGATTTGCTGTAACAAGCTGCATTGTATCAGTAGCCCTGGGCATATCAGATGTAATGCCCCTTCCTCTCCTGATGACACCCTAGCTGACTGTTGCCTAGCTATACTCACAAACAGATCCCCAACAGGAAAAGAGCTGCAAACGCACCCAGTCCAGAAGGAAAGCACAGCTGAACTTTTTCCACATTCCTCCCTCCCCTGAAATATTTAATGGATAAATCAGAAAGAGGTGTAAAGCAGGCATTTCAGAAGTAACCTTTTTTTAATTTAATCCCATACAAGGCTTTTTCTAAGCAGTGCACATGACCCACGGGTTTTATCCCCCTGGCAGCTTTGGACAGTTATATATTTATACACACACACACACACACACACACACACACAAACAACTTGTTCAAGTTAATAGCATTCCTGTGCTATTGAGTCAAAAGGAACTCCACAAACAGGGGAATTTTTTTTGGGGGGGGGGGCGGGGAGGGGGAGCGTGGACTGTACTGAAAAAAGGATCTTTTTTAACAAAAATATTTGTCACTTAAAGCTGTGTTTCCTTCAGTGCTTATATTGGCAAGCCTGATTTAGCCCTGATTTCACTGGAACTTAGAAACCTGAAGGCAAACAAGGGATGGGTAACCTGATCCTCGCACTAGTGTTTGGCCCAGGGAGGATTAGCAAGACTGGGGAAGCTGACATTCGGGACTACGTTGACATTTATGAAAGTTTCAAGAGTGTGGTGGGTGTTGCTTGGCAATTCGTAGGTAGATAAGCAGAGCCAGCTAGCAACTGCTGGGGAGGGTGTCGAGGACTGGGCATGAACAGGGCTGTTACAGCAAAGGTAAGGTCTAGTTTAATTCCCACCATAGATTATTGCTTGATTTACAGATTTGTATTTTTTTAAAATGTAAAGGCACACAGATCACAAGGCCTATCAGTACAATAGGAACGCAAGGTTGTCAAGACCTGATAATCTCAAAGTGAAGGAGGTGTTGAGAAGTCATTAGTGAGGCTGTGAACATCTCACTGAAACACAACAAAGCCCTTAATTGCAAGAGGGAGAGTCTTTAAAAACGGTCTTAAAACTAATCCAAAAAGCAGAAACTCCAAGACTTGTCAGGTCTGCAAATGCAAAGGGTAAACTCTGGCTTCTTATAGACTTAACTGTATGATATATCTCTTTCCTGGGGCTAGGTATACCTTGTGACAATCTTTATACATCTATAGTTTTATGTCTTTCCACTCCTTTGCTGATGGTTTTATAGAGCAGTCCTTTATACTGGGAAGACTATCATCACAGGGTTATGCAATCACCATTAGAGAGTAGCTGGCACCTTCTTCCACTTCTGAGTTTGCTGCAGCTGATACAGTGAGCAAGGCCAAGACTGCCCTGAGAACTTGGAGGGGGAGAGAGACAGCTGCCAGGTCAGGGACTGAGGCTAAGATTTACCACCACTGGAAAGAAAAGGGCATCTGCAGCAGCAGAACCTGGTGGGCACCGCTTGGCTCATCCCTCCTCCCGCTCTCTGCATTACACTCAGAATAGCCACATTGCAGAGGAGACTAAGCATGAGGGGAGCACATTTGTATATATATATATATTCAATGTTAGCAAATGGAAATATATTTGAAAGGGTGCAATCTTGAAACAACAAAGCCCCCTTGCATTCCAAAGGGCAGGGAGAATGTTACTGTCAGAGCAGCGCTATGGGGGTGGGCAGGTTTATTAGTGAACCACAGCTGAGCTCCCTCTTGCGCCAGCTGGGAGGGGAAGACCGAAGTGCAGTGAGAAAGGAGGCAGAACTTAATTATTCCTAATAATAATAGCACCTGGCACTTATGTAGTCACTTTTCAACTGCAGGTCTCAAAGTACTTTACCACAGTCATTATTCTAATCCCGTTTACACATGGGGACAGAGAGGCACAAAGGTAAAGGATAGAATTTTCAGAAGCATGTAAGTGACTTAGGAGCCTAAGGTTGTGTCTACTCCAGGAGCAGTTTACCAGCATAGGACTACAAGTACTATCCCAGCAAAGACCTAGTGTGGACACATCTGTACTGGCAAAGCTGTGCTTTATACCAGCATGGTAACTCCACTCGCCCATGAGCAAAACAAGCTAACCCAATCAAAGCGTCGTTTTCCTAGTACAGCTGTGTGCACACAGCAAACTTTTGCCAGCACAGCTCAGTCAGTCAGTCAGGGAATCTCAGACTCCCGATCAACAGAGCTATGCTGGCAGAAGGCTGTAGTGTGGACATAGGCTATGTCTTCACTAGAAATGCTGCAGCTGCACCCCTTTGATGCAGACCCCACTACAGCAACAGGAGGGGATCTCCATTGTTGTAGTCAGTCTACCTGCCGGATGGAAGGTGGATGGAAGAATTCTTCTGTTACCTTAGTGCTGTCTACACCTGGCATTAGATCAACTTAACTACGTTGCTCAGAGGTATGAATTTTTCACATCCCTGAGTGACGTAACTGGGTCAACTTAACTTTTAAGTATAGACCTGGCCTAAGTCTAAGACCTGGTCTAGGCCTAAAACTTAGATCAACCTAGATACATCGCTCAGGGGTGTGAAAAATTCACAGTCAAGAGATGTAGTTAAGCCAACCTAAGCCCTGGTGTAAAAACCGCCTACCTACCCCCTCTCGAGGGGGTGGATTAAACTACAGTGACAGAGAAATTCCTCCAGCCCCTGTAAGAAATGTCTATACGACTGTGCCGCAGAGGCAGAGTTACAGGGTGGTAACTATGCCTGTAGTGTAGACATAGCCTCATTGTCACGAGGAACTTAGGGGCCTAAATCTCACTGAACATCAGTGGGACTTAGGCTCCTAAATGATTTAGGTGCTTTTGAAAATGTTATCTAAAGTGACTAGCTCTGGATCAACTAGCGAGTCTGTGGCAGATGTGGGAGTAGAACCCGGGAGCCTAACTCACAGGTCGGTATCCTAGCCGGAGCCGTGGGCAGTGCCTAGGGTGACCAGATGTTCTGATTTTTGGGTCTCTCTTTTATAGGCTCCTATTACCCCCCTCCCCCACCCAACCCCTGTCCCGATTTTTCACATTTGCTGTCTGGTCACCCTAGCAGTGCCCCATCCCTAAAGTCCATTTAATCTCAAAATATTTGATTTGCTGGGGTTTTTTAAAAAAAATTCTGTAGTATTTTCTATTCCAGTCAACTAAAACTGATCACAGGCCAAGAACTCAGAACGAATATCACAAACCCTTACGCCTCACCCTCCAACTGATCCCACCCATTCCACTGCATTTGCTTTCTCACGTCCTGCTCACCAGACAGCTGCCTCTCTGTGCAAGCATCGCCATGGCTGGATTGGGATGGTAAGGGTATTGTGCCAGTCAGGGAAGAGGGCCCAATGAGGGCAGGGAAGGGGCGGGCTTAAGGCTGCACAACAAAAACCATCACTTCAAATCCTTCTAAAAATCAAAGGAGTACAGCAACCCAGAGCCTGTGCTCTGTCTCGAACAGGATAACTCCAGCCACCACCTTCCCTGGCAAATGCCTCCCAGGATGGGTATGCTTTAGATCCAGACTCCCGGCCCATAGCCTGCCTTGGACTTCTGGAAGGACCCAGCCTCATTTGCTGTTACTTGCCGCCTGCTAAAAATGATCTGGAGCAAGGAGCCAGCTTTCCCTTTCTCCGCCCTCCTCCTCCTCCTCCTCCTCGTCCCTGACCACACTGGGAGGGATCCAGTGTCAGCCTGCAGCTGGCATTGCAGCTGGCGTCCAGGCAAAGAAAGGGAGATTGCTGCTTGGAGGCCAGAGGGCTCTGGTTTCCAACAGTTTATTAATAGCAAATACACACTCCCATGCTACACCCACGTCCAGTCCAGAACACGAGGAACTGGGCTCCTGGAGAGAAAGGTGAGAGCTAACAATTGTAAATTGGGGCTGTGCTTTTCCCTTGTCTGGGACCAGATGGGGTAAATGGGGCAAAAGTGGAGGGGTGGGGACGGGTCTTCCCTGAGCAGAGCCACTTTCACCGTTCATGCTGGGATTAACCCAGAAAGTCCAGCAGCTCTGCTCAGGATGTAGGGCAGCAGGGCTCCTGCAGGCAGGAGCTTCATTCATTTGACAGGGTTAGAAGATCTGCCAGGAGTTTGCCTTCTTCAGTACATGCAGGTCAGACTACCAGCCATTCTGGTCTGTGCTGAAGAATATGTGGTACTTCACCACAGGACGATAAGGAAGGGATGTTATGTGCCAGGTAAGAGACTCCTTGTGCGAACTGGAGGGAGGGAGAGGGAGTCCACACACACACACAAATGAGAAGAGGGGTGGCATGGTGCGTGGGTGTGAATCTCTAAACCCAGATCTGGAAGGGTGGGACTGCAGTGTGTGGTCTTGGGCAGTTGATCAGTTTCAGGATTAAATCCTGCAACAGCAGGACAGGTGTGGCAGGGGTTATTTCCTGATTTTAGTCCCACACGTGCAGATGAGCACCAAGGGGTTCAATTAGCCAAAAAGTTGATAGTACCAGCTGAAAAAGGGCTCTGCTTTTGTCCTCACCTTTTCATGATTTTTCCCCTTCTCCCTTAGGAAATAAGAGACACTCACCCTGCTTCTGAGGCTAGGGATGTGTCATGAATTCAGAAAACTGCCTTATTTGGAAAGAGGGAGCGTATCCATTAAAATAATCTGTTCTCTCATCTTAGAACTGTTTTAGTGAACAGAGGGGAGTGCTGTTATTGTGCCAGCCTACGCTAATTTATTTCTAGGTGACTAGACGTTAGCTCAGATCCATGCTGGCAGCGAGCATGCTTTCTTCCTCTCTGACTCTACTCCAAATTGGGTGTGGTTGTAGCTTCCCCACCGAACATATTCTAGGGTGTAATTTAAAAAAAAAACCCCAACAATGTAACAGCCTTTTTGCAACAGATCATTCTCTCCTCACGACCCCAAAGCACATATGTTTAGACTAGTTATGACTGAAGCATTTTGTAACAACGTGCACTGAGGACTTACACAGATTGTAGTGGATGAATGATCAGCTCACAGCTGCAGAGGCAAGTTAAGAATCCCTCCTGGGAAAGCTGAAGCTTCTCTACTCTGTGTTAAATGTTGTATTCCATCCTCAGCCATCTTGGAGAGCCTGGATGTAGTCTAACAGCACATTCCCTCCCTCGGAGGCTGTGTCAGCATGGCAAAAACCAGGCAGGTTTTACTGAAGAAAGAAAAAAAAAAAAATCTATAGCTTGGCAGTACTATATAAACCGCTGTCTGCCTGACATTTTGTATACGAGCTCTCGATGCAACAGCATCTAGTAAAAGCCTCTCGTTTGACTTTCTATCATTCTGAGGAGTAAATTCTCTCCTAAAAATAAAAGAGATACAGACTTAGCACGTATAGTCCAGTCACAGCATGTGGGAGAGGCAGGAATACACATCGATTATTATTATTTTGTATTACTGCAGCACCTCAGCATCCTAACCAAGGCTGGGAACTGTGCTAGGCCCTGTACAAACACAGAACAGAAGACAGTCCCTGCCTCAAAGAGCTTTAATTCCAAAGGGCTCGTCTACACTTACATTGTATCGCGCTCAAACTGGCTGCGTGCAGGGGGGTGAAAAACCGTGGAGGTGGATTACCTGGAGCGCTGGGAGAGCTCTCCCCCAGCGCTCGAGCGTGACCACGCTCACACTTCAAAGCGCTGCCGCATCAGCACTTTGAAGTTTCTGGTATAGACCTAGCCTGACAGAAATATAGTTTGACAAGCAATAATATGAATCTAGGCACGTCCACTGCACCCATCCCTACAGCATCTAGCCACCAGCTCACGTGTCAGCTACGGAAGAAAAAGAGAGATGGGTTTCCACACCCAACCTCTATCAGCAAACACCTTCACTCATGTAAACAAAAAAAGTTTAGCCGAGTGTTGGTCTAGGGGTACATGTGGCCATAGTCAGACATCCAGTAGGATTCTCTGTACTTGTGGCGCAAGGCAGTGTGAAGAAACGATGAGTAAATGGATCAGGATCATTTGGTCTAGTCCCTATGAAGCAACAAGGAGGGATCAGAAACAGCGTCTTACTACCAGCAACCAGGAAACAAAAAGGATATAGCTACCTTGGCATTTACAACGCAACAATCACCGTAGTGTCTATGTGCCACTGTCTCAGCCGTCACTCACTAGTCACACCCTGCCGCGGGATAACGGTTTGCATCATTAGTGAAGTTTTACTACCTGACCAGCTATCGTAGTGCAGCTTTGCAATGTATTGTCCTGGGCTGTTTATTCTGTAACTCCCTGCAGGGCCACTGGATGAAGAAGTGGCTGTACAGTTCTGGGAGGCTGGAACTTCAGCTGGTTTTCAAATTACTGCTACAAATCTCTTCTTCCCGGTCCATCCGAGCCAATGTCACTTCTTATTTCTCAAACATCTTAGATTTTTGAAGGGCAAACTTCTTGTAAGACCATGCACAATGCATCAATACCAGCCAATACTGTAGCCTTCATGCTTGAAGCGGCTTGTGAATTTTAGAGCATGGTTTCTTGTAAAGGACAGGAAGGATGTCTTACTTGTGCAAAGGCAGCTAAGAGCAGCAGAGATGGGGCTTTGCAGCAGAAGCAGGTGCTTAGGTTAACACACCATTAATGTTCCTGGTTCAGGGGAACCAGTTTGAGGAACCATTCCTTAACATTTCGGAGAGGGAAAGGGAAGGTTGAAACTCACAGTGAATGTTGTTCTGATTCACACTTCATCTCTCATCTCCAGAGACCTGATGGCAGATTCAGAAGCCCCTTTGGAGCTGCATGTGGATGATACAGGTACATCCTTAGAGCTCGAGGGAGATGTTACAGATGCCCCGTTGGAGCCTGAAGTTGCACATGCCCCCTTGGAGCTACATATGGATGTCACAAACGCCCCCCTGGAGCTGAACAACACAGATGCACACTTGGAGCAGCATGTGGATGGCGCAGACGCTCCCTTGGACTTAGATGTTGCAGAGTCCCAGACTCTCAGCATTGAGGAGCTAGGAGAGCATTTCCAGGAATGCATTGAAGCAGTGGAGCAGCTGGAGAAGGAGAGAGATAGCCTCATCCAGGAACTCACGCTGCTCCGGGAACCTGCCCTTGAAGAAATCAGACAAGCTCACGAGGAGATACTGGCAGCCTACAGACTGCAGGCCAAGGGGGAGCTGGAGCGGGACAATCTGAGGAACGAGATCCGACAAGTCAAGCACAAGCTATTCAAGGTAACCAGAGAGTGCGTGGCTTGCCAGTACCAGCTGGAAACCAGACGGCATGACATGGCCCAATATGCAGTCTATCGGGCTGAACTGGAAACCAGGGTCAGCCAGCTTTCAGAAGAAATATCGCAGCTGAGAGAGACTTGTGAAAAACAGAAGGAACAGTTCAGGCAGCGCCTAGAAATGCCCCAATACCGGGGGGACAGCCATTACTTGCAGGAGAGCCGAAGGCTTTCCATGGAGTTCGAGAGCTTTGTGGCAGAGAGTCGCCAGGGCCTAGAGAAACACTATGAGCCACAGCTTGTGTGCCTTTTAGAAAGGAGAGAAGCCAGTGCTAAGGCTTTGCAACAAACACAGGGAGAGATTCAGGGGCTGAAGGAGATACTGCGACCACTGCAGGGAGAGGCCAGCAGGCTGCGGCTGCAGAACAGAAGTCTGGAAGAACAGATCATGCTCGTTAAGCAAAAACGGGACGAAGAAGTTCTCCAGTACAGGGTATGCTTTACGGGCCTATAAAATAGTTTAAACACCATTCTAGTATAGGCCTAGTCTGTGCTGCTTCCTTGTAGGTGGTCTGGGGCTCCTGGATTCAGCAACTGCATGCTACAGTGATTGGTGCTAGACAAGTACCTTACACATAAGAGTTGGGAACAGTCAGACACCCTCTACTTGCCGATACATTTAGTAGCCCAGAAAAGACAGATGTCCCCTCTCCTTTATGGAGGCAAGGCAAAGCAATGGCAGCTGCTAGGTAGGCAGAAAAGAGGTTAGAAATAAAGAGGACACCAGGTGATATTGCTATGGCTTCATCACCATGGGCAGCCAAAGGGAATATTCTTCTAGTTTAACCGCATCAGTTACTGATCTCCTCTTCAGACATGAGGCACCTAAATAACACCTCCAAATAAAGCCAGTCCCTACCTAGCACACTGTGTGAAACACAGTGGAGCAGAAATAACTTTAGCTGTGTTACTTTAAAAGCAAATATTAATTAAGGGCCTACAGCACACCACCATGAGTTTATCACATGCATGTTCATTGTCAAGGAGTTCGTTTAAAGCCTGCGAAGCAGTGTAGTGCCCAAGTTGTTGATTTTTATACTTGCAGCAGTTGTCTTATGTATTTGTATTTAAATCAGATGTCCAGTACAAGTCCTGCTAAAAGTTTTGTTTTTTTAAAAGCCTCCAAGCTTTGACTGACTTATTAGACACAATGAAACAGATCCTCTGTATAATTTAGTGAAACTCCATTGACTTCAATGAAGCGACACCGATTAACACCACCACAGGATCTGACCCTCTCTCTATTTAGATTTGTCCCAGGAGAACGTGTCTATGTATACTGGATACACAGGCATAAAGTGGGACCAACAGGACTACAACACTACTGCATATCCAATATACAGACACACACTAGCTTACAGGTATGTAACACACTCCTGCAGATTTATTTCTGCCTTAGAGACATGCATGTTCAAATACCACAGAGATAAGCACATCAAAACAAAGAGAGAGAGATGTATCTAAAGAGTCCAACTTGCAGCAGATCACATTTCTGCCTGGGCTACTCGAGAAGCACCTATTAGCTTCACTTTGTGCTGAATACAGCAGCTCCTCTTATAATGAGCGAGCTTCTACGAAGACACTAGTGTTCAGAGAACCCTGGTCTGCTTCTGGGATTAGTTCCAGGTGCTGGTTAGTTTATAAAGCCTTAAATGGTTTACGCCTGTTATTTGTCTTGTCACCTTGTTGGCAGGACACTGGGCTGCTAACTTGGTGAGCTTCAGGCTGCTGTGTAAGACACATTGGAATTGCCCTCACTGGTCCATCATTGGCAAAGCCAGAGAGTGGATGTCAAATATCCTGAAAACGTAAGCCTTTGCTAGCAACTGGTTTGAGTAACACAAAGGACCAGTTGTGGAGATGTTTGGCACCATTATAAATGCCTAAGCCAAACACACTGTTAATACTAAACTACTGATGTTGATGGGAAGAGCTATAGACCCCTCTCTATTGTTTCAAGTAGGGCCATTTTCCCCTCCTAGAGAGAAAAATGATTTTCCTCCAAATTCCCATACTGGATTAGACCAATGTCCCATCCAGTCTGGTATCCGGTATCCTCCAATAGCCAACATTAAAAGCTTTAAAGAAAGATATAAACCTTCATTATGGCTACTTATGCAACAACCTGCTCAGGGGAATGGAAAGGAGAGGGAATTTCTTTCTAAGCAAATGCAGCTAATAGTTGATTTATGCCCTGAAATGTGAAGGTTTATGCCTCTTAAACATTTTTTATCCCAGTTGGTGCAATAGCAGATATTACTCAGATAAGTGACTACTCCTTCTCTGAATTTTACTAAGTTATTTGCCACACTCTTTTAGCACTGTTCCACAGGTTCAGTGAGTTGTGTAAGTTTCCTTTTCCATTCTAAAATCTGCTGCATTTCCTTTATCTTGTTCTTGTATTAGGACAGAGGATAAACAGAAGCCCCCTAGCTGACCCTGTTTCTATACCTTATCATATTTACCTCCTCTCTAAACATAATAGTCCAATTCTAATCTCTTCCTATACAAATACTTTCCCTGTCTTTAAACAAAACACTTCCCCTAGTTTTTTCTATTTCTAGAATATGCTTTTTGAGACCAAACCTAAACCCACAAAATTCAAAGGGGAGAATGTACTGTCAAGGTCTATAATGGCAGACTATTTTCAGTATTGTTCTCTCTGCTTTTCTTAACACAGCTGTTAATAGAGTCTATGCCATCTAGTAAATGAAGCTGGTGCTCCTTTACGAGTAAAAGCCTTTCTGAAGGCCCAGATACAGCTGTTTACCTAACATGTTGGGTCCCAGTGAAAGCACTGCCTGGCTGACTTCCTCATGCATTAATAGTACAGTAACAGTTTCAAGTACTCTGCCACAGGGTTGGGCTGTCTCCCTTGCCACAGGTTATCTATAAAGACAAGAGAAATGTCCAATGTTAAGCATTTCTCCCCCATTTTGTAAGGAAAGGAAAAGCAATTAAATACCTGCAGAGTGCTTTTAGATGAAGATGATCCACAACATTTACCCCCATTTCACTTTACAGCTTTTCAGCTCAATTAAAGCAAGCCAAGGCAGCCAGTGGCTTCTAAAACTGGACTTGGATTTCAATCCCTATAGCCTTTCTGAATGCTGCTGTTGAAAAGCTTTTGGCAAGTTCCCCATATCATGCATGAAGGTAACAGATGCTGCAGGCTCTGTATGAAGAGGACAAGCCATCTATGTCCAGATCAGCTTATGACTTTACATCAACTTTTCATTTTAGATTTTTCTCCCTATTCAGCGCTCTGAAAGGACAGGGCTTGCTGAAAATTGATTTGGATGATCTCCCCGCTATTTCCACATCACACAAGAACTCAGGGCATACTTTCTCCATTAATTTCTTCTTCAGCTCCTGGAAATTTTACATGAAGATAAAAATACAGATTAGATCTCTCTGAAACACACAATTTTCCTGTTTGTATTACACGTCAGTTGTTGCTTCTTGAGGCACTATGAGCTGAGAAACATCCCATACATACAGATGAGCCTAGTGAACATGCATTAGCACATTCAGCCAAGAGCAGAACTTCCTCCCTAGGCAAACTAGGTTCCTTATCTATACCGGGGAAATCAATCAATGGGTGGCGCTAGCCATCAGTATAGCTGCAACTGTGCAAACCCATAATGTAACCAGGCAGACCTGCTATACTGATGGCTGTAAGCAGGGCAAAACCTCTCCCCTCCACCCCTCCCCATGAAAGCAACACTAAGAGCTGGTTAACCTTCATCTCCCAGGCACTGTGTTTCAGAGTTACACATCAGACATATTCTTTGTCCACAGGAACAGGTGGAAGAGATGGAAGAGAGGCTAAGGGAGCTGAAAAATGAGGTCCAACTTCAGCAACGTAAGAACCAAGAATTAGAAGAGCTGAGGACCAGCCTGCACCAGGAGCTATCTATTTACAAGTCAGTTTATTTTTTAATTTTAAGTCGTTCTCAAGGGCAGCCTTAGACTTTGGTTGAGTAGGAGCCTAAGGCTCCTAGTTCCTATACAAGCAGGGGGCCAAAGTAGTACTACTTCGATGGAAAGCACTTACTGTACAAACTAGGCACAATACCATTAGTGTCAGCCAGAAAGGGGAGGGACTGGAACTCAAGTATTTACCAGAGAGCAGGAGGAGATGGATAGAAAGTAAAATGGATAGACCTTTAGCAACACAGAAGGCTTGTAGTGGGGGCACAGTTTTCCTGGAGGCAGCCCCAGTTTTGGAAAAGTTTGGGAAATGCACCAGTGGATAGTCTCCATCACCACAAGCAAGGGGAGGAAATTCCCCTTCTAGCCAAGATACCGCTACTGCTAATTTTTCCTCAGGACGCCTCATCTTGTTACGGGAATACTCCACAATGCCGAGAATTTCAAACAAAAATGCATTGATTTGCATCAGTACAATCATTGGTCTCGCTTCTCAAGGTTTTCACTTTGAGACATCTTACCCCTTCCTTGGGCTGTTCAGGCTCTGGAGGTGTTCAGTAATTTTCCTTTTTATTGTAGCATTCATTTCCCCCACACTTTTTCCTTTTGTACAGTTTCAGAAAATATTCTCTCACTCCAGAGAAATATCATGTTTTCCTCAGACTGCCAAAGAAGGAGTTAGTTGTATCCACCCTTTAATAGATTCATAGATATTTAGGTCAGAAGGGACCATTATGATCATCTAGTCTGACCTCCTGCACAACGCAGGCCACAGAATTTCACCCACCACTTCTGCAAAAAACCTCACACCTATATCTGTGATATTGAAGTCCTTGAATCGTAGTTTAAAGACTTCAAGGAACAGAGAATCCTCCAGCAAGTGACCAGTGCCCCATGCTACAGAGGAAGGCAAAAAACCTCCAGGACCTCTTCCAATCTGCCCTGGAGGAAAATTCATTCCCGACCCCAAATATGGCGATCAGCTAAACCCTGAGCATGTGGGCAAGATTCACAAGCCAGATATTACAGAAAATTCTTTCCTGGGTAACTCAGATCCCACCCCATCTAATATCCCATCACAGGCCATTGGGCCTATTTACCATGAATATTTAATTACCAAAACCATGTTATCCCATCATACCATCTCTTCCATAAACTTATCAAGTTTAATCTTAAAGCCAGATAGATCTTTTGCCCCCACTGCTTCCCTTGGAAGGCTATTCCAAAACTTCACTCCTCTGATGGTTAGAAACCTTCGTCTAATTTCTAGTCTAAATTTCCTGGTGGCCAGTTTATATCCATTTGTTCTTGTGTCCACATTGGTACTGAGCTTAAATAATTCCTCTCCCTCTCCGGTATTTATCCCTCTGATATATTTATAGAGGGCAATCATATCTTCCCTCAACCTTCTTTTAGTTAGGCTAAACAAGCCAAGCTCCTTGAGTCTCCTTTCATAAGACAAGTTTTCCATTCCTCAGATCATCCTAGTAGCCCTTCTCTGTACCTGTTCCAGATTGAATTCATCCTTCTTAAACATGGGAGACCAGAACTGCACACAGTATTCCAGGTGAGGTCTCACCAGTGCCTTGTATAACGGTACTAAAACCTCCTTATCCCTACTGGAAATACCTCTCCTGATGCATCCCAAGACCGCATTAGCTTTTTTCACGGCCATATCACATTGGCGGCTCATAGTCATCCTATGATCAACCAATACTCCAAGGTCCTTCTCCTCCTCCGTTACTTCTAATTGATGCGTCCCTAGCTTATAACTAAAATTCTTATTAATCCCTAAATGCATGACCTTACACTTCTCATTATTAAATTTCATCCTATTACTATTACTCCAGTTTACAAGGTCATCCAGATCCTCCTGTAGGATATCCCTGTCCTTCTCTAAATTGGCGATACCTCCCAGCTTTGTATCATCCGCAAACTTTATTAGCACACTCCCACTTTTTGTGCCGAGGTCAGTAATAAAAAGATTAAATAAGATTGGTCCCAAAACCGATCCTTGAGGAACTCTACTGGTAACCTCCCTCCAGCCTGACAGTTCACCTTTCAGTAGGACCCATTGTAGTCTCCCCTTTAACCAATTCCTTATCCACCTTTCAGTTTTCCTATTGATCCCCATCTTATCCAATTTAACTAATAATTCCCCATGTGGCATGGTATCAAATGCCTTACTGAAATCTAGGTAAATTAGATCCACTGTGTTTCCTTTGTCTAAAAAATCTGTTACTTTCTCAAAAAAGGAGATCAGGTTGGTTTGGCACAATCTACCTTTTGTAAAATTATGTTGTATTTTGTCCCATTTACCATTGACTTCAATGTCCTTCTCCTTCAAAATTTTTTCCAAGACCTTGCATACTACAGATGTCAAACTAACAGGCCTATAATTACCCGGATCACTTTTTTTCCCTTTCTTAAAAATAGGAACTATGTTAGCAATTCTCCAATCATATGGTGCAACCCCTGAGTTTACAGATTCATTAAAAATTCTTGCTAATGGGCTTGCAATTTCATGTGCCAATTCCTTTAATATTCTTGGATGAAGTTTATCCGGGCCCTTCTGAAGGGGTATCAGATAGCAAAGACTTTAGGACACTACAGATGTAGGCCAGATTATTCTGAATCACAGGTTTCAAAGGCCAACATTTTCAAATGTGAATGATCAATCTTAGACTCTTAAGTCCATATCTGCACCTAAATAAAAGTTGCCTAATAGTCAGAATTCCTGGATACTTACACATGCTGCAGGTGTTCACCACTAAAAGTTAGGCCACTTAATATGGATTGAGATATCTAAATAAGAAACCTAAAATTGGGCACCCACATTTGAAAGTGTGGGTCATCTGCTCCTTTGCCTGTGGCCTACATGTCAACTCCATTCTTCTCTCTGTCATAGCAGTAGTTCCTCGTTTGTCAAACTCTGTGCTGAGGATAAGTTGATCTGCATTCTGGAGGCAAATCTCACAGTTCTACATGCTTAGTTGGCGAACCTGGTTGCTATCCAGTGCTATTCCTGCACACCTTGCAGCACTAGAGTGTTCTTCATAAATAAAGTCTTCCTCCCGTAACTCTCCAGATCATTATTTCATAGAATTGGTGGCCTAAATTTACTTTATTCCCTTGCAGGGGCTGCTTAGAAATCTATGGTCATCTTTGCAACTCAGAAGAAAAAGTAGACCAGGACTGACCCATGGACTTTCCTTATTTTATCAGAAAATAAATGCAGAGGAGCTCAATGTGAAGGATTGAGGTATCTGCAGTGGACACTTACTTTTCCCCTCTCCCTGCTCACCCCCTCCTAAATAATGCATAGCAACTATTTAAAGTCAGGACTACCAGACAATCATTTGCTTGTTTATATTTCTTGAGGTGCTGCTCTGTTGATCTTCTAGCACGGTAGAAAAGAATAAAGCTGCTGTCCTCCAGGAGGGCACAGAAAAGTACACTTGTACTAAACAATGAACATATAAAGAGGAATGATAGCTGTTTTGCTGTGTGTTTGGAAAGCATATCGATCTTGTTTTGTAGGTGGATCGTATAGGCTTGCAGAGAAAGGGTCATATAGAAAGCCAATTTTTTTTTTGTTTCAAAGAAACACTTCAAAGAACTACTGTTGTTGCACCGTAAACAGGATTGTTTCTTTTGTAGCTCAAAAGATGACTGCTGTATTGTGATATGTTCTAGTAGGGTCCATAAACTGAGTTCCCAAACAAATTGTTTCCACTTTATATAAAAATCTCACCTTGAAAATAAGGATTCAGGTTTTAAAGGCTGCTTGTATATCCCAAAGCACATTCTGCCTCATGGAGACTGCAACATGCTCACATGATCAAATCAAAACAGCTGTAAATTTGTTCACACGTTAACAATCATCATAGGATGTAGACCTAACAGCCTATTAACAATTGTTAGGGGGATTTAAGACCCAGGCCTGGTCTCTATCTAAAACTTAAGCGGACCTATGTTGTTCAGTGGTGTGGAACTTTCACTCCTGAGGGTGACTTAACGGACACCGCTAAGCCCCTGTGTACACCCAGGTAGGTCAACAGAAGAATTATTCCATCAACCTAGTTACTGCCTGTAGGAGGAGTGAATTAACTACAGCAAGAGAGAACCCCCTTCCATCATTGTAGCACCACAGCATCTGCAGTGTAGAGACAGCCCCACTCAAAGCACCCGGGGAGATTCAGACTCTGAGGTGTAATTCTGAAAGGGGTTACTACAGTCTGCTCATGCCTTCTTGAAGGCCAAGCTTTACCTTAAATGTTGAATGAATCAGAACCACACAGCCTTATATAAAAAGGTAATCCATGCTACAAAACCTTGATTTTCTGACCTCATGAATATCAAGGTTTGGGACTCTTCCCCCACCCAAGGCTGCCACACCATTAGAACTTTGACAGGTTTCAGAGGAACAGCCGTGTTAGTCTGTATCCGCAAAAAGAAAAGGAGTACTTGTGGCACCTTAGAGACTAACCAATTTATTTGAGCATGAGCTTTCGTGAGCTACAGCTCACTTCATCAGATGTGTACCGTGGAGACTGCAGCAGACTTTATATACACACAGAGAACTTTGTCCTTGAGAGGGTGTGAACAGAAGAACTTTCTGAAGGCTAAATTATGGATAGCTCTGTATATGTACTCTAGAAGGAATGGGCAAGAGAGCACCCTTCATTCCTCCCCTAATACGACAGCCATGTTTTGGCTGCAGGGGGCACAAAGAAGATGCTACATGATACTGCTGCCAATGCTAATAGCCCCAGAGGCTGATGTGGAGGAGTAGCCATACTCCTGCCTCCTACACACCAGCATTCTTCTGGCAGCATTTACAGGTCACATCTTTTAAAGAACCTCCTGGAAGGTATAAGGTCTCCATACACTGCTGCTCAGAAAGCACCTCTATTGTAAGAGGTACAATTTTGCCTTGAGAATGCACTTTTCCTGAAGTGTAAAAAAAAAAAAAATCAAAGCAGCACACCATTTATGTAGAAAAACAATTTATTCCATCTGAAGCACTTACACATAATTAGTCTTGGAGAGTAACAGCCTACTGGTGGAACAGGTCACCCTAGTGGGAGATGTGCAGAAGCTAGTGGTCAAGGACTAACTCCTAAAAAAAAAAGTTGCTCATCCACATTTAATATTTTGTTTTACATATACCAGCTACCAATGGTGTTTTCAGATTACTGGGCATGCCATCTGTGGTAAGTCAGTCAGGTAAAAACATACAACTTTACAACTTGGTGGTCCCAAGTTTTAAAAACCATTTCACAGAAAGGAAAGAAAATATAGTATGAAAACACAGCTCAAGAACACACAATAGAGCAAACTACATGGGTGGTGAACAATGATCTGCAGGAATAGCTACCGTATCCAAAATTCTGTGTTGCCCACCAGATGGGGAAGTGAAAATCCAGAATTAAGGAAAGAACTCTAGTTCTGGTTGAAGTCAGAATCTGCACTTGAAAATACTGGCACACAGACGAAAAGGATCCCGATATTCTGAGTTTTACCAAAAAGAGGACAAGAGACACCACTCTCCACTTATCAACTGCTCACAGATTAAAACCCCTTGCAACATCTGAACTGCATCATCTCAGGCACACTTAGGTGGCTCCACCCCTCAAACCTTGGTTAAAGTTAACCAGAAAACCTGCAGCTGTAGCATATAAGCAGAAGAGAGGAAAAAAAAGTGAGTTTTTTTCCACTTCATGAAGGCATCTTAGGCCAGCTCGATACACAATCAACTTCTGTAGGAAATTTAAACAAGGAGCTACAGCACAGTACCAGCTCAGTTGGGCCAAGCCCTTAAATTAGGGTCCTCATTGTTGGAGTTAAAAGCATTGTTGATGGTATCTACATAAGGAAGGCTGAACACAAAGTCTATGTGTGTTTCAAAACCAGTGTTAAATCAATATCAGGACTGGAAGGGAAGAGAGGGAAAGAGGACTAAAAACAGTAAAAGGTCAGTCATCTAGGACCCTTGACCTTCTGGATCCACACTTCCTTCAGGGTCTTCATCATTATATATGTTCTCAGCCTGCAAGACAGATACAGAGGATGGGGAATTGGAGAAGCACTTAATAGGACAACATTTATCCAAGTTAAAGGGATTCAACTGGAGCACTCCCAAGGACTGCAGTTCTAGCAGTTGCTCATCTCCACATACTGAGCTCTCACCCTAGATCCCTCAAGACCATTTAGCATTTACAGAAGTGTTACTATAAATATGACAACCTTCTCATAATGGTCATGTTTTCTACATTATTTCCTTAAACAAAGGTTCATTATATAGACTGTAGTTTGTACATAATACAATTAAGGAGGCAAGTCCCTAATTGTGTAAGTGAAGATCACCGAGAATCCCACTGTATTTTAAAAACAATAAAAAAGGATTTTTTCCATATATTTAACATGCACTACTCTCAGACAGTGCCTTTCAGAAGATCTCAAAGCACTTCAACACGATCATTCCAAAGCCCCTATGAAGTGGATATTCCATCCATTTCCAGGTGGATAAGCAGGAGGTAAAAAAGGGACTGTCAGGGTATAAGTCACTTAAAAACACTATTTTCTTTTCCTATGCTTCTAAGTGGAGTTATGTAAAATATAAAATTAATTTCCCCAGCCCCATTTATTCTATTTACCATTTGTAAGCATTTCACTCACTTTGGACAATGACCGATCAGTTTTCAACTTCTCCTTTGGCTCTCACACACACTAATATAATGTGTGGGTTCCAAATACTGGAAGGGAAGGTTTATATCGTCCCAAAAAAAACCCCACATTTTTGGAATTGAGAAACATGAAGTAGTTTCTTTAATGTTTGTAAAAAAACAAAACCTAAATCAACTTCAGTACTGCACAGCAAGTCTGAATCAGAGCAGGGAATTCTACTCTGCTCAACAGATCTGAGATAGTGTCATTTCCCCACACAGCCACCAAACAATGAAAACAAAAAACACCCCCCACACACCAGCCAACCACAAAGAAACTTACCATTTGCCAGACTTGCATAATATTGTCTTCTGATACAGAACAAATTACCCAGGGTTCATTGGGATTCCAGGAGAAATCAGATATCTTTGCAGTGTGACCACCATGAATAAACTAGTATTGGGGAAAACACAAAAGACAGAGCATTCAGGTCTACAGCGTAGAGCATGTCAGATCCAGCATTATGGTCTGAGAAACTTACCAACAGCTCCGGTGGGCCATCCTCTGCATCTTCAGGGGACTGCTCTTCTCCAATTTTACTGTAGTAGAAACAAGAGCAAAATGTAAACAGAGTTTTCATAGGACACAAGGGAATTGATTCAGGAAAGACAATAGCAGGTAACACTGCCAGTTTAGGACTTACCTCAAGTCCCAGACATTTAGCCTGCGGTCAGTACCACTGGAAGCCAAAATAGTCTCATTATGAGGAGACCACTGAACCTGCACAAATAAGAGCACATCAGAAAGGAGATGAATCTTAAGAAGCGATGCATGAGACAGTTAGTGAAGCTACATCTGCTTTATCTCATGAATGCAATTTTCCAGTTTCAAGTTGTAAACGCATCAATTCAAAATATGAATTTTCCATTGATAATGCTTCTACATGGAAGAGAGGCTTGTGAACACGCATGACGGCATGCCTAAAGCATGAATGAGGTGATGTACTCAGACTCCAGGGAGCTGCAACATCCAGTCTTCCTTCTCATGTGGGATGCTTACTGAAAAGCACTGCATCCTCCAAGGAGGCTGCTTTCCCTCCCATCTGCGATAATGAGGGTTACACTTACACAACAAACCATGCACTCATGTGAAATAGGATGCAAGATTACATGGAGCACAGAAAAAGCAGAACAGAAGGGAAAAAGGAAGAAGTCCCAAAATCCTGTTTATATCAGCCCAAATACTAGAGCTATTGCCTCCAACTGGAGGACAAACTATTCCTGGGAATGCTACTTAATCCAGCAGCTGGGCCAGAGGTCAAGGGAAGAGTGTTGGGTTCGAAGCACATGTCTTTCAACAATGCATGTAAAAGCCATCAAGTGTTCTATTTAGAAACTGTTATAGTTCTCAATGATAGTAAGCATCTTACCCAACAAACCCCTGCATATTCTTTTCTTTCAAAAGAGTCTTCCATTTTGCTGCTCTCGAACAATTATCGTCACCTGCCATCTCTTCTGATGCTGAAGATGCTAACCTGTCTAAAAAAGGTGTCCTGCTTTCCCAATTGCTCACTGTCTCTAGTTGACCCTGAAGATCCCCATTATTGGTCACCAGTTTGTACTCTAAGATGGTGCAGCGTTCCTTGAGGGACGAATCCAGATGATGAACATGCTGCAGACATTTCAGCACACCACCTTGTTTCTGTCTACCACCATGAATAATTTAATTTTACTCTGTATTGTTAACATTTCTCTTTTTAGTGATAATGAGGAAAGGCCATTAAAGTTACCTCTCATCTAATCTGTTCCTTTCTCCCAATCATTTTAACTCCCGTAAAGGTTTGGTATTCTTCCACATTTAAAGGGCTCACTATCTGCTGCAGCTCCTCACTGCAACTAGTTACTGTGGAGAGAGTCACATAAAGCTGCCAAAAACCGCCACAAATTTTTAATGCAAATATCCTTAATACTAAGGACAGTGGAAGGAAAGGAACGAAATGGACTAATTTTTAATCAATATATGTTAACACTGTGCAGGGTGTCAGTAGGTTGGAGGCCCCTCAACTGCAGGAAACAAAATCAAAGTAATTCCATAAAAATATACCATTTTATTGTACCTGAAATATTTCATCTTTATGAGATTCAAAGGAATGCAGCTTCAGTTTTAGGTTTCTCAGATCCCATAAAGCAACAGTCTATTCAGGAAGAAGAAAAAATAAAATTAAAGGCAAGAGATACTTTTACCAGAGTTAGCAATATATAGTTGTGTGAATATGAGCTTAAAGGATGTCATCTGTCCACATTCAAGACAGACCATACCTTATCAGCTGATCCTGTAGCCAGAATAAACTCACTATAGGGATTGAAAGAGAGGCAGTTCACTTCAGCTGTGTGAGCATCCACAGAGTGGCTGGGTTTGGAGGTGTTGTTTGACCGGGTGTCCCAACTACAAAGAGAGGGAACGTGATGGGATATAAACTTTTCCTGTCCAACATCAAAAGAAAGGGGGAATGTTCTCAACTTTACAAATAACGATACTACCCACTTACATCATGAGCTTCTGATCATCAGCAACAGATCCAAAGAGAGATTCGTGGAGCAGGTGCCAAGATACATCTTCCACTACTGCTGTATGCCCTGTAAAGATGGTCTTTGCATCCACCACTTTACCTTCCTTTGGAACAGCGCTAATATCCCACAAGCAGATGGTCTTAAAGAAAAAGTGTATCTTTAAGATAGAGGAACTCTCCTCACCTCCCCCCACCCACCCCCAAAAAAGCAATAGTTAATCAACTAAAGCACAGCATTCTACATATATTTACAATACTCACGTGATCATCAGAAGCACTAAGCAAATGCCCACTCAGATTTGGATTCCATGATAGTCCATAGCCTTCCTTTTGGTGTCCACGAAGACGCAGATCAGGGTTACACTCTCCAGAAGGGTCTGCAAAAGCAGTGTCAGAAAACTTCAGTTCCTAACAACTCCACTCATGCAAGCCCACCCCAGACCACCATGAAAAAAAGAGTTCTACATTGCTTCCCCAAGCTTTGCTTTCACATTTTAAACAGAATTTCCACTTTAGTCTCTTGAGTATTTTCTCCAGCAGTGGGACCATTTCATTTTTAAGAAAAGCTGTAGAATGCACCAAGACAATCTACAAGGCTAAAGAAAAATGTTAGAACTAATGTCTTCTTAAACTGCTAAAAGGAAGAATAATATTTCAAAACATTTATTACTGAGGAGCTAATTCTGGACCAGGGTTCCATTATGCTAAGGTGCCGTCAAAACAAAGACGGTCTTTGCTCCATGTCTACAATCTGTAAATCAAGAAGTAATTTGTCAGGCTGGATGGTGCAATGTAACCCACTCATTTCGTAATTCGCAATGATCTTCGTTGGCTTCCCCCAAAAGAGGCCAAATTAGTTTTTAAGGCTACCCCCTCTCCCTACTTTCCTAGGCTGTTTGCTGATGATTTTACATCCCTGTTAGCCAGGACAGCAGCTCAGCCACCTAGCAAACAAAACAGCTTCCAGCTGGTCACTGAGCATCCTCCATTACCACAACAGGTGAACTCCCAACACTGCCTTAGTGAGGAACTGCTAGCGTTGCCCCACTCAGACAATACATAAATATTTAAAAATTAGATTCTAAACAAGACATGACAGAGCATTCAGTGAGGCAGCCACTGAGAACACATATCAACTAGTTCCTTGGAGAAGTCTTCTACATAAGAAACAAAAATCAGGTTTTTAATTCTAAGAATTAAAAACAAGATATATCCCACACAAACCCTTAAGCTTCTATTGGCCTGTTTCACCCTTC